CCTCCTCTTCCTCCTTCCTCCTTCCTCCTCCTTCCTCATCCTCATCCTTCCTCGTCCTCCCCTCCTCCCCCTCTCCCCCTCCCCCCCCCCCCTTCTCCCTTTGCTCCAAACTGCCACTGCGTAACCCAATTAAAGGTTCTTTCCCGAGTCCATTACTTGTCTAATCCATCTCGCCTGCTTACCCTCGTCCTTGGTTTGAAAAAAAAAAAAAGCCATTAGTATCTTAACAATACTATCCCTATAGTACTGGAGGAAGGGGCGGTGGGCGTAGTGTTTTTTTTTTTTTTACGTGAAGAGATGCTTATGCTCTATCTAGTGTTTGTTATTTCTTCATTATTTTCATTCGTCGCTTTGTCGTCAGAGACTTTTCAATCCTACCTTGGTTATCATACATCAGGCAGCCACGCGTTTGTGTGTGTGTGAGAGAGAGAGAGAGTGTGTGTGTGTGTGTGTGTGTGTGTGTGTGAGAGAGAGAGAGAGAGAGAGAGAGAGAGAGAGAGAGTGTGTGTGTGTGTGTGTGTGTGTGTGTGTGTGTGTGTGTGTGTGTGTGTGTGTGTGTGTGAGTATGTGTGTGTGTGAGACTGTGAATTCCATCCACATGATCGAACACGAATTAAATCGACGGGGAGGCACTGGTATCGTAATATTTTGGCTGTGCTCTTGCCCCCTTTGGGTCGTCTTTTACTTGATGCTAGTAACCCATCAAGTGGCAACGCCTTGCTCGTAGTAAAGAGAATTTTATGAATGAATGGTTTTCAACGCGTTTGATGAAAGGTTGTACGGTCACGGTTAATTACTCTCTCTATATCTATCTATCTATCTATCTATCTATCTATCTAATTATCTATCACTATTTCCCTTTCTCCCTTTCCCTCTCCCTCGTCTCTCTTTTCCCCCTCTCTCTCCCTCTCCTCCCTATCCCTCTCCCTCTCTTTTTCTCCCTTTATTTCGCCCTCTCCCTCCCTCTCGTCTCCCTCTTCCTCCTCTCCCTTCCCCTCTTCCTCCCCCCTCCTGCCTCCCCCTCTTCCTCCCCTCTCCTGCCTCCCCCTCTCGTCTCGTTTCCTTCCTCTTCCTCCCCTCCCTCTTCTCCCTCTCATCCTACTTCTCCTCCTCCTCCTCTTCCTTCTCCTTCTCCCTCCCCCCCTTTCCTCCATCCCCTCCTTATTCCCCTCTCTCTCCCTCCCCCTTCTCCCTTTCCCTCTCCCTCGTCTCTCTTTTCCCCCTCTCCCTCCCTCTCCTTCCTATCCCTCTCCCTCTTTCCCTCCCTCTCTTTTTCACCCTTGATTTCGCCTTCTCCCTCCCTCTTGTCTCCCTCTTCTCCCTCTCCCTCCTCTTCCTCCCCTCTTCTGCCTTCCCCTCTCCTCTCCTCTCCTTCCTCTTCCTCTTCTCCATCTTATCCTACTTCTCCTCCTCCTCCTCCTCCTTCTCCCTCTTCCCCCCCTTTCCTCCATCCTCTCCTTATTCTCCTCTCTCTCCCTCCCCCTTCTCCCTCTCCTCACTATCCCCTCCCCTTCCCCTCCTCCCTCTCTTCTTTCTTCTACTGCTTCTACCTTTTTCCCTCCCCTTCTTCTTCTCCTTCTCCCCCTCTCTCTCTCCTCCGTCTCCTTCTCCCTCTTCCTCCCCTCCTCCTCTTCCTCCTCCCCCTCTCCTTTCCCTTCTCCTTCCCTCTCCCCTCTTCTCCCTCCCCTTGCCCTCCCCTTTCCCCTCCTCTCCCCTCCCCTCTCCCCTCCTCTCCCCTCCCCTCAAATATGTATTTGATTTTACATAATGTCAATCTACCCTTGCTTTGATACTTCTTGCTTAATCTGCCATGATTTTATTTCAAGAATTCAACAGTTGCAAGTAAGTCGCATAACAGATTTAATAAACATATCGATAATGATTGTTTTCCACTCGCATACTTCTGTGTACACCTGCGCTAGCATGTACAAATGTAAACAAAGCTTCTGAAAACAGCTGATGGTGTCACATAGTTCTCGCGTTGACTGTTCGTCGTGAAGTAGTGCCATATTTGGCACTGGAATAAAATCTGCTGACCTAATCATTACACCCTGTATAAATGGAGGCCCGAGCCTGGTGTGGTCTCAGTACTGCACACGCTGTGCTTTCGCCTGCCTTAAGCTCTGATACGGTGAGACTCAAGCACTCGCCTGGTGTGGACTCAGTACTGCACACGCTGTGCTTTCGCCTGCCTTTACCTGTGATACTGTGATACTCAAGCTCTCGCCATGCCGCGGGGAATGCTCAAATTGGTGGTAAGTTAGTGCAGTGAAGTGATTGATAAATATTGTGATTTCGTGATGATTTTTTTCGATAACTGAAAGAAATCGATATTTCCCTTGGAAAATGGGAAAAAAGGGGGAGATTGATTTGATAGATTCGTGTTTTTTTTTTTCGATAATTGAAAGCCGATATTTCCCTTAATTTTTTTTTTTTTTTTTTTTTTTTTTTTTTTTTTTTTTTTTTTCTTTTTACTGTGAATTGATTGATTTCGGGATGATTTTTTTTCGATAATTGCAAAACCGACATCCCCCTTGGAAAAGAAAATGATGAAATAAATGGGGAAAATGCTGCGTCTATTTTCTTTTTTTTTCATTTTTTACTGTGAAGGGATAATGGGACATTGATTTTTTTTTTTTTTTCGATAATTGAAAAACTTGTGCCTTTTCTTCTTCTTCTTCTTTTCTTTTCTTTCTTTTTTTCCACTGTGAAGTGATTATTAGATATTATTTCGTGATGATTTAATTTTTTCGATAATTGCAAAACCGACATCCCCCTTGGAAAATGAGAAAGGAAATGGGGAAAATGCTGTGCCTATTTTCTTTTTTTTCTTTTTTTTTCTTTCTTTCTTTCTTTCTTTCTTTCTTTCTTTTTGACTGTGAAGGGATTATTAGATAATGGGACATTTTTTTCTTCTTCTTCTTCTTTTTTTGCGATAATTGAAAAAAAAACCTGTGCCTTTTTTTGCGATATTTGAAAAAAAAAATGTGCCTTTTTTTGCGATTTTTTTATTTTCTAATTTTTATTTTTTGCGATAATTGAAAAACCTGTGCCTATTTTTTTTTTTTTTTTTTTTTTTTTTTTTTTTTTTTTTTTTTTGCGATAATTGAAAAACTTGTGCCTTTTTTTTTTTCTTCTTCTTCTTCTTCTTCTTCTTCTTTCTTTCTTTTTTTCTTTCTGAGAAAGTATATGGGGAAAATGCTGTGCCTATTTTCTTTTCCTTTTTTTTTTTCCTTTTTGACTGTGAAGGGATTATTAGATAATGGGTTTTTCAATTATCAAAAAAAAAAAAAAAAAAAAAAAAAGAATTAAGGATATCGGTTTTTCAATTATCGCAAAAAAAAAAATCAATGTCCCATTATCTAATAATCCTTTCACAGTAAAAAAGGGAAAAAAAGAAAAAGAAAAGGAAAAAAAAGAGAAAATAGGCACAGCATTCCCCCCCCCCCCCAGGGGAATGTCGGTTTTACAATTATCGAAAAAAATCATCACGAAATAAATCTCCCATTTTCTAATAATCCCTTCACAGTCAAAAAGAAAGAAAGAAAGAAAGAAAGAAAGAAAGAAAAAAAAAGAAAAAAAAGAAAATAGGCACATCATTTTCCCCATTTCCTTTCTCATTTTCCAAGGGGGATGTCGGTTTTGCAATTATCGAAAAAATAAAATCATCACGAAATAATATCTAATAATCACTTTACAGTGGGAAAAAGAAAGAAAAGAAAAGAAAAAAAAAATACGAAAATAGGCACAGGTTTTTCAATTATCGCAAAAAAAAAAAAAAAAAAAAAAAACGAAAATAGGCACAAATAGGGGAGGGGGGAATGCTGTGCCTATTTTCGATTTTTTCTCTTTTTTTTCTTTCACTGGGAGGGGATTATTAGATAGTGGGAGATTTATTTCGTGATTTTATTTTTTCGATAATTGCAAAACCGACATCCCCCTTGGAAAATGAAAAAAAGGGGGAATTTTTTTCTGTCCATAGATGGCTCTGTGGTAGTGCTTAGCCACAGAGGAGTTGATTTGTAGGCCTTGTGACCGTACCTAATTTGAAGTGGCGGGAAAACGTATTTTATTACTAGTGCTATCGATGGTGTTATTTTTATTATAAACATTATAATTATGTTTTTTAACATTAGTAACAGCAAAATAAGTTAATGCGTTAATGCGAAGAAAAGAGTAAACGGGCGAGACAGGCAGTACTCGTAACTGGCTCATTGGTGACTTAGTACAAGTGTAACCATCAATGTGTAAAAACAATCAAACAAGTACTCACAGTGGGCATAGCACGTACGTACACGTCATACCCGTCGGGCATGAGAGGTACGTACATGCCATGCCCACTGCGAGTTTACTTGTTTGATTGTTTTTACAGATAGATGGCTACACTTGTACTAAACCACCAATGAGCCAATTACGAGTACTGCCTGTCTCGCCCGTTCACCCTTTTCTTTAATTTTACGTTATTTTACGCTATCTTATTTTGTTGTTACTAATGTTTATAACATTATAGTAATTATAATGTTTATAATAAAAATAACACCATTGATAGTCATAGCACTATTAAAAAGTACATTTTCCCGCCAATTCATGGAAAGGTGAAGTCAGGTAAGGCAGAGCCATCTATGAGTAGAGACTTTTCACGAAAAAAAAAAAAAAAATAGCACAGCATTTCCCCATTTTTTATTCATTTTTTTCCCGTCGGCAAGGGGTTAAAAGGACGTTCACTTTTACATTTAAACGTTTCACGAAGTATGACGAAAATGGGGACAGCCGGACAAATGGCATGTATGCGCCACCTGTAGCTTAATGTTCTCCGCATAATCACATTTTTTTGTCGTGGATTGTATATTACTCTTGCTTAAACGGTTTTTGCTTAGTTTGTTTCCTTTGATTTATATTATTCACTCATTAGAGATATCGAATACTGAATTACGCATGAATTGTTCACACAGTGGTTTTACTTTTCATTGTATTTCTAAGCATAACATTTTCTTCCACAG